GAGTCAGACCCGACTCATAGCAACCCCTCCTTGGGTTTCCGAGGCAGTATCACTACAGAAGTAAATTGCCCCATCTTCCTTCCAAGGAGTGGCTGGTGAGTTTGAACTGCCAGCCTTCTGGTTAGCAGTCAAGTGCATTAGCCACTATGCTACCAGAGCTCCCAAAAACTCAAAAATGACCATAACTATTTGTCAGAGGAAATCTGGTGAGACCCCCAATACTAGGGCCCTGGAATACATTCTGCGCCTGGAATAAAACTCACCCCCAGGGGCGGGCTCCTAGCCCAATGGTTAACAGGATGTACAAGCAGACCACTCAACCCATGATGCCACACCCACATACTCTATGGTAATACATCCCTTAGAGCAATAGAACATGGGACACCAGGGGACCAACATTCAAATTGAGGAAATTCAGGACAAACAGGAGTGCATACATATGAGGGGCACAGGGGGAGGATTACAGGGTAGGGAGGGGAGGAGACTGGGTTAGGGTTGGACATGGTGAACGGGGAATGAAATTAGATGTACGCGTTACATTGAATGTAAAACAATCTCTTAAAATTAAACAAAAAAAATTTTAAAAATTAAAAAAAAAAGACTGGCCTTAAAAAAAAAAAAGCAGGTATAATCCTGCAGTATTAACTCACAGAGTATATTTACACTGCATCACAACTTGGGATTCAACATGTTTGTTTCAAATAGAGCAAGGCAAAAGGCTAAAGCAATTAGCTAGGGTAAGGAGCATTGCAGTGGTGTAAAAATTGTTCTATCTGAGCAATCAGATGATGCAGGCTCCAATTCAGGCTGTAACTACCCAAAGCTAAGACCTGACCACATAAATCTACTCTTTTGCCTGTTTCTTCAGCCATAAAATGGAGCTGGGTTTGGAGAGTCACTCCCAGCTCAACCTAAAACTGAAAAAAAAAAAAAAAAAAAAAAAAAGAACATAAGAAACTAACTAATTATCCAAACAAAAGGGATATGGTGAAATAAACTATTTTCATCTGATGGTATGGTAATACAGTCCACATGAAGTACCTTCTCAAGAACACTTCCTGACTTCCTGATGTGTTAATAATGCTAATGGAAGAAAGAGAATTCAAACGGGGGGTGGGGGTGGGAGGAGCATAATCCTAACTTTTGAGAGCAGAAGGAAACGCACCAGTCTCTCTAAGTGGCTATCTCTGCGTAACAAAATTATTTTCATTACACTTCACTGTATTTGTTAGATTCTCTACAATAGAATTAAGACTTTATAATCAGAAGAAAACAACAAAGGACATGGGAATGTTGCTTTTAAGACAAGTTTTTGCACATCAACAGATTTTTCAAACTAGAGCTAGTAAAGCTATGAACAATTCCAGTAAGGTTTCTCAATACGTTTCTAAAATTGCAATTAATTCCTTTAGCTATACACTTAACTTCTATAATCAATTTCTTAAAAGACGGGTTTTTTTTGTTGTTTTCTTTTTTGCTCGTTTGAAATTCTGCTCCCTGGGGTAAGGCATTCACTTGCTATCAGAATATCAGATAAGACTTAGCTTACAATGGTGAGGCTGAAACGGGCGCTTCACACTTGAGGACCACTAAAGAATATACAACAAAACAGAGTCGTTTACAACAGCCAGGCCGCTCAAACTTATTTTGGGTTGTTTTAACAT